AGCTAGCTACCTTTTTATAGTAAATTAGGCTAGAAAACGTTTAAGAAAAGCTATCCTTAGAAGCTTACCTTAAGAGTTTATAAGAGGAGCTAACAGTATATATAAGGAAGGAGACGTCTATAGCTAAAGAAAGGAACTAGGACTTATCTTAAAGTAGGGCCCTTAGCTTAATTAGGACTTATTCTTCTAAAAAGGAAGACCCCCTTTCTTATAGGACTTAATTCCTCCTTAGGCCCCTTTTCCTAAAGTAGGTCTAAAAGAGCCTAGGGCTAAAACCCGGATTTCTTAAGTAAGGGATAAGTATAAACTAAGAGCTCCTTTATACGCTTACTAGCTTAATTATTTAGTTTTACCCTTTCTATAAGGGCAGGCTATAGCTAAGGGGGTATATTATAAAGCATAGCTTAATTTTATAGTTCTTAGAGATATCCCTTAGTAAGAGGGACCTAGGAAGCTAAAAACACCTAGTATAAAAAAAGGAAGAAGGAGCTAAAAGGAGGTATAGAGAAGAGAGTAAGGATATAAAGGGAAGCAAAAGTAGCGATAGCTTCTTATAGAGGTAGCGAGAGATAAGATAGATATAAGGAACGGTGTTCATACTATAAATAAAGCAGCTATAACATACTCTCCCGATTATATAAGCTAATAAGTAGTATATTAATTATAGACAAAATCCTATATTATAGAGCAAGAATCGCTCGTTATTTTGCATGCTATTATGCATTAAACGGGGTGCCGGTTATTATATAATCGGGAATCGAAGAAATAGAGCTAGCTTAGAATACTAGCTAAGACCTCTTAAGAACACCGGCACGACCAACCTCCTTTAAACACGAATATTAGTGGAACCAAGACACTTCCTAATATACTCGAGGTATCACTAAATTCCTTAGTCTTAAGGCTATACGGCAGCCTAAATCTAGTCCTAAAAGGTTCTTCCGTTCAGCTACATTTGTCTATATAAGACAGCATGTCCGCTAGTAGATAGATATAGGATTATTAACTTTAACACCTCTTCTATATACTAATATATTACTAATAAATTCTATTGAAAATCCTACCTTATACTCCTTCTTCCCCTTTATTACTTAGTCTTACGTGATTCCTTAATTTCCTAAAATTCCGCTTTTGCTTATAAACCTTAAGAATAGATATACTAGTAACGGCTAGAAAAGAAAGGAAAAACTAGTAAAAAGCTTAGTAGTTAATAGAATATTAGTAGCTTCTTTAAGTAGGATCTTCTTTATTAATTAAGATACTAGATAGGTATAAAGAAGGGCGTTAAATAGAGGAAAGAAAGATAATTAAGGTAATATAATAATTACTCTCTTACTATAATTACTACCCTTATAAGAATTAAATATCTTTGCCCTACTTATCCGACCCCTTACTTTTAATTTTACCTTTATATATTTTATATTAACTTCTTATTTCTCTCTTTATAAGAAGTATAAGGCTAGTACTTAACTATACTATTTACTAAGATTTAATATAGGTCTAATAAGTAACTAAGTAAACTAGCTACTATATATTATTATATATATTAAATATAGACTAGCTATTAGTTTTATAAGTTAAAGTAAGAGTAGTAATAACTATCTAAGTTTTTCTTTACCTACCTAAGATTTAGCGGGTTCTCTATCTTCTATATATACTATAGTAAGTATAAGACCTTACTTAAGGCTTTAACTAAGTAATATCTTAACTATATAATTATATAACGTTAGCATAGTATATTAGTAGTATTTTCTAGTATTTTCCTTAGGTAATTATAGGTATTTCTCTATAATTTCCCTACTATAATCTTATAGTAACCTTTTAGGTAAATATTAGTATAATCCCTAAGGAGCTATTATTACTTAGTAAATCGTAGTATATTCCCTATATATTATATCTATAAGGGGAATCTCTATAAAATATCTATAAGGGGAATCTCTATAAAATATCTATATTATCCGCTAGGTTATTATTTCTAGGATTTCTAGGTAATTTCCTAGAGTTTACCCGGTAGCTTTTACGTTCTTTCTTTTATAGGGAGTCTTAAAAAGTTAGGGGTAACTTCTATAAAGGAAGTAGATATCGTTATACGTACCTAGATTATCGACTATAGGGTATCTTATAATAAAAAGGGTAGTTAAGCTTTTATATAGAAGACTTATATAGCCCTACGCTTATAGAAGCTCTTTATAGCCTACGATTATAGATAAATATAACTTAGGTCGTAAGGGCGATTTTATTAATATCTTACTTATAGGAACTTAACCGCTTAATAATAATAGCTTTATTCTCGTAAAAGAAGCCTTAAATAAAGGTATATACCTTATCGTAGGTTTTAAAGCCTAGGGAAGGTAGTAGGGGCGGAATCGTAGCTTAAGGGATATTATTACTAAGATTATAAGCTTTATTTAAGTCGCTCTAAGGTATAGGGGTATTAAAAAAAGAGAGAAGAGGGCCTATTATAGTATTAGCGAGAGCTTTAAAGGTTATATATATATATAAGGGGGAGGGTCTAATATTATATAGCTAAAAGTGCGTTATAATATAAATATATAGGCGGGTATAGGCGCGGGTGCGGGCATTTAGGCGGTACGGCTACTTACTAGGCCTACGCGGTATAAGTAGGCGGGGGGGACTAGCGTTAGTACGTATCTTAAAAATAGGGCGTAAGTACTATTAGAGTTACGTATAAGTGCGATTAGTTCTACTTATTTTACGACTATAGGAGTACGGACATTTTACGTGCGTATATACCGGCGTAGGTAGTTTAACTAGACTAGGTAATTAAACGTCGGCTTTAAAGGTAGCTAAAAATAGCTATTCCGTATATATAGATATAGAGAGGATAAAATAAAAGGTAGATTATACTATTATAGAGTAGGTAGAGGCGTAGGCTTAGGTGCGGTCCGTTAAAAGAAGGTTAATAATCTATAAGGGGGAAAAGAAGGAGAAGTATAGGCATAGCTTATATAAGCGCGGAGGCCGCTTATATATAGACTTAGCTTAGACCTTAGTCTAGGCTTATATAGGGCAAAAGCCCTTATAAACTATACTAGCTAGCCTATAAGTAAGGTGCTTAAAGGAGCCGTAATTCAAGCTTAGAACGCTATTCTTAATAATCTTTTTATAGCGGTTAGTAATTATACTTAATACTAAAAAGACTTATAGCTATTATCTAGGTAAAGGGAGGATATATAAGGTTTTAAGTAATATTAAGCTACTATCTTTTCCTTATTTTTACAGCTTAAATTAATACTCTTTTTATATCCTGCTATATCTTTAATCCCCCTTAATCCTTAGCGTTGACTAGCTTTTAGCTGTAAAAGGGGCTGCTAAGCCGGCTCGAGAGAGGGGCAAGTCACCTATTTATAAACAAACAGGGGCGGAGTGTATAGGCTCGGAGCGTGGGATGGCCGGCTGTAATATAGGCTCGAGTCAAATCTCTTAGGAAATTTAACTCGGTTACGCATTTATGCCCATCGATCAAGGTGTCGATCATTATGATGCGCAATATTACAAGGCCGTTTACCTAAGTAAGCTTGCTATACGAAAAATAGATACATGCTATATATAGGTCGGCCTACCATAGAAGACGAGACTATTTGTCTCGTTATGGGAGTCCTTATGACCCTAGTCGTCCGAGGTATAAGACCAGCCGAAATTCCTATATCTAAGGTAACGCTTTATCCAGTTTCAACTAGATCTCTCAATCGCCATCATGCCGCACTACATGATTACCACACAGATCTCGTTTCTACAATGAAGGCCTCAACTGCCTGCCCCCTGACCCTTGTTCTTAGACTGGTGGTTTCCGCCTGTTCTATTGCAGACGTAAAGGGCCAAGAACGGGTGTCCGATGGACTAAGCGCATGTGAGAAAATGAAAACTATTGCTTCTCATGAAGAATAAACGACCGACGTACTTGAAAGTAACGTGCCTTGCCGTACTTCTTTCTTGGAGTTCGGAGAGGAGGGACATTGTCAGCGGCTCGTTTAACTCAACGTGGCCGTTCTTAAGCATTGGAAAAAATCCGGAAATTCTCCTGCAGAGAGATCCCAGCCAGCGGACCCGAGTGTCTTTCTGAATGCCAGCTTGTGGAAGTTCTTGCTGCTGAGAAGAGGAAAGTCCGAAAACTTGACTATGGGCCTTACATTAGCTCGACACAACAGAACAAAGCGAAAAAGAATTGCGAGGAACTCAAAGAACTCACCGACTCTACCAGGGAGCTCCGCGATACCTACGATAACCGGCAAAGAAATCGAGGAGCAGAGGTGGACCGAGAGTTGAAGGCGGACTCAAGGCCTCATTCAACAGCACAGCAGCGTTCCTAGCCCTTCAATGCTGTTTTAATTGCCTGAAGATATCAGAAATCTGGGAATACTCTAATCGAGGAATGGAAGAGAGGAGGCCTTGGTCAGGCGGTGACTGCTGTCTCTTGTGTGAGTCCTGAGGCGTTCATCCCATCTTCTCAACCCTCGATGGCGTCAACTTGCATGTTATAACCATCGACGGTCCACAATTCATATAAGCACTAGGCACCGCAGACCAGCGTCATCGCCCTCCACCTTGTCCTCAAGCTGGCGGCCTACGAAATCACCCAAGGTCGGTACGAACAACCACAGCGCACTTATAAGGAATGAGGGCATTCTTCAGCCCCGTGTTATCTCTGTTGGGATACGTCCTACTTCGCGGCGTGGAAGCCAGTGTTTAGCTGAAAGCACTGGAGGCAAAGGAACAATGTGCCAGCAGATTGGTGAAAATCGTCAATTTGTCGGCTGGTATCGCGAAGGGCTATTGCGAAGGGTTCGTGGCACTTGAGTATGGTGTTGGGCAGATCACCTTGGAGAGGTTCGCTTGGGCGCACATGATCCCCGTTCAATCAACGCGAACTGCTTACTCCCAGCTCATTGCCCGCCGTAGCCGATTCCGCTCGAGCATAACTGTTAGTTCGAGTCAATTCCAAGACTTGGTTGGGCGCCAGCAGGCATAGCTGGCGGTGACACTTACGCGCCTGTCCCGCCAGTCGTGCCCGAGGACAGGGCCTCGAGCACACACTGGCCCATGGCAAGCACCTTTTCTTCCTCGAGTCTTCGCGCGACCAGCTGGAGACTGACTGGCAATCCATGCATCAGGGCGGCATCGTCTTGAATTGCCAGAAAGTGCCGTCAGTATGCATGTGCACTTGGCACCGACGCCCGGGAGCGCCTTGTCATTGACGATGCTCGGATTGTCGACTCACATTCTTCGTGAATAGCCTTGCACTCGGGGCTCAATGGCTGGTGGGTAAAATCCGACGTGTCAATGTCCTTGTCTACAGCTAAGCCGGTCACGAAGGAGAGACACGAGTAGTCCAGGACGTTGAACACTCCAGTATATCCCACTTTTCCACCGTCAGTGCGCTTCAAACGCGGCAGTTCAGCTCACGACAAGTCAGACTAAAACTCACCGTGCTTAAAGTAGCCGTTCCTGACTGTGTTAAAGGCCATGGTCGGGCAAAGGATGGCGTCGATGCTAGCCGTGTTCCAGCGGTCCAGGTAGCGGTTCTGGAACTCTGTTCGCTCAGCATGCAGCTTCCACATATCGAAGACGCCCAGCTCTTTGGCAATTCTGTATGCCTCGAGTTCCGGCCTCCATGGCTCGCCGGTGCGCTCAACCTCCCGGCGGATCGCGGTGCCGCCGTCGGCCACGAACATGCGGCCCAACAAGTCAGCGCCGTGTCTCTGGTCCACCGGGTCCCATTCCACAATGTCGTGGCCGGCTGATCTCAGCTTGCTGGCAACCTCCTTCAATACCCGCGAAACCGGAGGCGTGGGCCGGACCATACCGTCGTGCCACATGACGGCAATTCTCAGTCGTTCCGCAAGCTCGATAGACCGCCAGGGAAAGGGGAGGCAACGCGGGTCACGGAGCCACGGCTTCTCACCCAAGACGCCCCGGCAGTACAGCTCCAAGTCCCGGAGCGTCCCGGCCATGGGGCCGTTGACCGAATGCACCGCCTCCTGGCCCGGCATGCCCGAGCGGGTCGACCGGACCGGAAACCGGCCGACCGAGGGACGGAGGGTGAAGATGCCCGTGCACGCGGCAGGCACGCGGAGCGAGCCCCCTGTTTCTTCATGTGAGCGCCTGGCTTGCAGAGAGCCAACGAAATGCGGTACCTATGTCTGTGCCGACGCCAAGAGGGCTGCCTCTGAAGGCAATGAGGGCCGACTCTCCGCCCGAACTCCCGCCACTCGTCGTCTGCCTGTTTCGCGGATTCACCGTCCGCCCAAAGACGTTGTTGACCGACTCGCCAATCATCATGGCTGTCGAGACGTTTGTCTTTACGTACAAGACTGCGCCGGCGCCCTCAAGCAGCTCGGCGAGGGCCGAGTCGGACTCTGCAGCGTCACCGACGTGCGACGCGAAGCCGAGGGTGGCGTCCAGTCCGCGAAGATAGAAGCTGTCTTTGAGCGAGATTGGCAGGCCGTGGAAAGGGCCGATGGGCTTTCCGGTGCGGGCAAGGTGCTCATCGCGGGCCCGGGCCGCCGCGATGGCGCGATCGAAGCAAGTTTCCGAAAGACAGTTTGTCTGGATAAGCAGCACTTGACTATAAGCACCGAGGAGTTGATAGATCGCCGCGGTTCGAACCCGGTTTTCCCTTTGCGGAAACTTACCAGCTGGTGCGCAGCCGCGGCGCGCTTACAGAACGCGGTTGTAACGGCTTCGGATTTGAGGTGCCCGGCGGCAAGCTTGGCTACAAGCTCAGAGGCCGTCAGGCTGGTCACAACCAGTTCGTCAGTCGTGAGCCAGCCTGAGGTCTCTGGCCAGTCGATGACGCTGTCTTGGGTCTCCGGGGGAAGCAAATCGGCCGGGATGCGCCACTCCGGGGGGATAGACGCCAAGAGTGCTTCCCTCTTCCTTGCGCCGATTTCCTCCCAGGGCAGATCTTGACCGCTGGGCGCCATTGAAGTAAACTCTGTGGACTAGGCTCAAGAATGGACGGAATCCGCTGGGTCTTGGCTGGACGGTCACAAAGCCGTGCGGTACCGGACGTCAACGTCGACACGGGCAGTGACTATGCTCTGTTCTTGGTTCCACGTACCCCCGTGCTGCACTTTTGCCTCTGATCATACCGAGGTCGGTCTGGTTGCGAGTGCGGGGGGTTGCTTGCAAGTCGTCATGGAAACCAATGGCAGGACTCATATGGCCTCGAGGGCGACTGCATGCATGTCGGGCAACATATGAGTGGGTATTATTACTTGTCACGACAGAAAGGGACTTGTGATACGCGTTAACAGCACCTCCACAGGGAGTGCCCCTATTTTGTCTGGTGTAGCGGTCGGTATTTTACCGACTTGACAGTACCAATACTACCGTTGCCTCCTCGCATACTGTACATGCATGCAGCCAGAACCTCCTGCTTGGCCGGCATCGGCTTGCTTGCGTGAGTGTGCGGCATCGGGTGAAGTCACTGTTAGATCCATGCTTCGCTTTCAGGGTCACAGAGTAACTATGACGAGTCCCATTTCCGGCTGGACGGCACGACGGGCCGCCACTCCGCTATTCCGTCAAGCCCAATGTGAAGTCCTTTGTAGCGCCATGCAGGCGTGTGGTTTTGAGGCTTGCACGAGCTGTCAGCAGCTGAGCGAGAGCGACCGTGGCGTGGACGTCCGTCGCCAGGTTCCACGTCCCCGTCAATTCAGGCGCGGCGCCGAAGCTCTTGAATACTCTAAAAGATGAGAGGCGTGCCAAGGGGGAACATCTATAATACAGTCGGCCGAGTGGATCTCGATTGGGACCGAGACGTGAGGTGGAGAGACACAAGTATGAATACTCCCTGGAGACCATCTGTGGAAAGTCGGGCTCCATCGCTGGCTACATTGTGTCCGCCATGGCCTTGGCATTGGTCACAACGCTCCCCTTGTTGTTTAATGGCACCACCGAAGCCTCATGCCACCGCCTGGCAAGCCATCACTACACCACAGGAACGCTGCTGCTCCACGGTCGCGAAAGATACGGGCAATGCTAGTGAAGAAATCCGCGTCGATGCTCGAGGAACGCCCGCCACTGGGCAGATGCGAAGAACGATTATTCTGGCCAATAGGTGGCACCGGCAGAGCCCAGTGCAAATCGCCGACGGCGGGTACTTGTCGGATTCTTTTTCTGCAAAGCCGCGGCTGCGCGTGCCGGAAGAAGGAAAAAGCCTGCCGACATATCATCGTCAAACCATCCAAGCCTTTTCTTCACCGCGGAAGGCTCAGGGGCAAAAGCCGTCTCTCGATCACCTCCTCCTTGCAAAGAAGCGAGTCAAAGGGGCCTGATCGTGCTGTTTAATCAGTCTCCAGTCGCCATCAATGCGGACGCACCTGTCAGTTGAAGCTGATGCCAGTCACGCCCTATTCCATGCCATCCGTATCATCAGGTGCCTCTACGTCCTGCAAACACCGGCGATGAAGAGATATACGGCTCTGCACTTGTCGATACAAACCCGCCAGCTCCCACAATGCCTTTGCGGCCTCGCGACGATCTGTGCATTAGCCTTGGTCCCGGGGAGCGAGCCTTGGTGCAAAAGATTGACTTCTTCATCCTCACCTTCTGCTGTCTGAGCTACTTCGTCAACTACGTAAGACTCGGGCCGCCACGCATCGACCTGAGCCTTTGGGTTGCGGCCCTTGTCGGCCAGTCGAGTCGACAATGAATTCGCTGACAGGTTGAATCATTCCCGCAGCTCGATCGCTCCAACCTCGCCAATGCCTACGTGTCCGGGATGCGGGACGAGCTGGGATTCGTCGGGAACCAGCTCAATGAGATCAACACTTGCTTTACAGTCGGGTAGGGAGCCTCGGAGCACTGATGATGACGCCCTGGATTTGTCCACTCATTCATGTCCCCCAATACCGCGCGTCTTCAGTTTGCATCCACCGCTGACCAGCTGGCCCTGCCAGATACATCTTGGGTCAGATCCCGTCCAACCTGTCGCTCCACTATGTCAGGCCCCGGCTCTGGTTCCCCCTCATGATGCTGCTCTGGGGCGGGCTGACTACGGTGACGGCCTCGGCGCACAGCCCGCAGGCCATCATGGCCATCCGCTTCTTCCAGGGCATGTGCGAGGCCTCGACCTTTGTCGGCACCCACTACGTCCTCGGTGCGTGGTACACGGAGCGCGAGCTGGGTAAGCGGAGCGGCATCTTCACCTCGTCCGGGCTCGCGGGGACCATGGTCGGCGGCTTCATCCAGACGGGCATCCATCGGGGCCTAGACGGCCGCCGCGGCCTCAGCGGCTGGCGCTGGCTCTTCATCATCGACGGGCTGCTCACGCTCCCCGTCGCCCTCTACGGCTTCCTTCTGTTCCCGGACACGCCGCGTACCACGACGGCTTTTTACCTGACCCCGGCCGAGCGGGAGCTAGCCGTCTCGCGCGTCCCCGCCGCCCACGACACGGAGCACCAGTCCCCTCTGACGATGCACTTCCTCAAAAAGGTCCTGGCGAGCTGGTACTGGTGGGGCTTCGTCGGCCTCTGGGTTGTTGCCGGCGAGACCGAGTCGTTTGGTTCAAACTCGCTCCTCGCCCTCTACATGCAGAGCCACCCGGATGTCAAGTACACCGTCGCGCAGCTCAACAACTATCCCACGGGCGTCGCGGGTGCGGGGATCGTGTCGACGCTCTTCTGGGCATCTCTGACGGATCTCCTTGGCGGCAAGCGCTATCTCGTCGGCTACTTCATCGCCGTGACCGGCATCGCGACCTCGGCCATGATCCTCGTCGCGTCTCGGAACCCTACCAGCTCGGCCTCGACGACTGTCGTCTTTGCCGCGTACTACTGGGCCGGGGCCGTCTATGCCTGCCAGGCCACCTTCTTCGCCTGGTGCAACGATGCCATGCGCTTCGAGCAGGCCACCTTTCGCGCCGTCGTCCTTGCGGGCATGAACCTCGGCAACAATGCCGTCAGTGCCTGGTGGAGCATCCTCTTTTATGGGGCATCCATGGCGCCTTGGTTTACTGTGAGTTTCAGATGCGGTTGGTGAGCAAAGGCTTGGTCGATGGCTATTTATCTCTCCTGTCTCACGGGCTACAAACCCCTTTAACAAACGGCCCTTTCACTTGCCCCAGCGTTTTCTATATTGCCGCGCACGCTGACGATAATGTATCTTCAGAATGGTATGTGGGCCATGATTGCCTGCTCCGTGGTCTTGGCAATCTGGACGGCGGGCTTGTCGTATCTGGCCTGTCGCAAAGACAAGAAGAGGGCAGCCGAGGATGGCGAGATGAGTGTGCAACATGAAGTCACAACAGACCACGAGTCAACTGGAAGTAAACCATCATGATCAATCGACTGTTCTCTCGTCACCCTAACTTCGATACCTCCCTCTCCTATCCCCAGGTTCCCAGACGCCTGGTGCGGTCTCAGAGGACATCACAATCGGCAATGGTCATTGAAGTCATGCCACAGGTACAGCACAATACAGAGTGATTGGGTACATTTGGCAATCCAACTATAAAAAACGAGGCTATCAGCAAGACGAGCTCGCAGCGAAGAGCGACGGCTTGGCCATGACTGTGAGACCGGAGCACACCGACCTTGGAATCATAGGGCGTGGCAGATCTGGAGCCACTGCACACCGCTTTATCCCACTTAACCCAACTTTTTTCTTTCTCCGCCAGTCTGTCATCCTGTATATATATATATATATATATTCCATTTGAGCTGCTGCGTCAGGTAAAAGGCCGAGTTGCCGGGCAGGGGCTCGGTTTTGTCTTAAAATGGAGATTCGACCCGTCATGCACGCAAGCTATCAATAAGTTAAATGTTTTGTACGCCTTCACTTTCCCAAACCCTGTCTCATGCCCGCTTAACATGGAACATGGGCAGTTGAATGCATCAAGACGTGTAATCGTTTCGCCCAAACGTCGGGATCACTCGTCATCTCTCCGTGTCGGCTCGGTCGTCGCGTCGTTCCCATGCGGCATGTCGGCTCCAGTTCCCGAGGAAATTCAGCCCGGCAAACTGCAAAGGGCTTGGGCTTACCGGGGTCGTTTATCTTGACAATTCATCCCAAGCTTCAATGTTTGCTCTTCCTTTCCAAGAACCGGTGCATCATCCTTCCTCCCTGCTGCCAACCCGAAGCCCCTTTCGACGTGCTGCTTCCGAGGTTTCGACCAAGAAACGTCTTCTCCAGATGGGTAAGGCGTTCGTGGCTGGCAGTTTCTTCAATGTCCCCATTGATGTCCCTATCCACTCCCGCAGGACTCGCTCGTCAGCCGTGCATTTATCGATGGTGGTGCTCTCATGCTACAAGCAGCTTCGATGGAGCAGAGCGGTATTTCACCGCCCAGTCCTGTACAATCGTCCGTTGCTCCGCGTCCGCCACCTCAGTGTCAAGGGTGCCTCAGGTAACACGCGTAGTTGTGCGATCCGGTCTCAGGGAGGTCCATGGCGTACTGCTGTGCCCTACGTGGTCATGGGGGCTTATTCTAGGATGGCAAGAGACAGACTGTGCTCAGCGATTGCCGACACTCACAGCAAGTAGTGCCGGGCTGCTCGTGGCTGATTGGAGCGTTCGATGTGACAAGTCGCGAGTGCTGAGGCGATCTCATCAGGCAAATGATATCCATATCCGATGCTCCTGCATCGCCATGTGCAGCAGCCAGGGGCTCGTCGCCTCCGCGGGCTGACGCCAAATGCGCTCGAGCAGCACCAGCGTCTCCCTCATATTGCCCAGGCCAATCGAGTCAATCATGGTCTCCAGCCGCGCCCTGAGGACGTCCCGCACGCCCGGGTCCGCCGTGCAGCAGCCGATGACGGCCAGTGGCCAGCAGAGACTGGTGTTGACCCGAGCCGACGCGGGAAACTGGCCCAGAATCGAGACTGCCTCGGCGACGGCGCCTTGGACGAGGTCCGCGTGCGCGCCGCAGGGAGAAGACTGCGGCGGCGGGCCCAAGATGCTCCAGAGATAGAGCAGTGCGGCCTGCTTGAACACAAGGCCGGCGAGCTGGCTGTATGGGCTCGCCGAGGGCGGTGGAAAGAAGGCGAGAATCTGCGACTGCAGGAATCCAAAGGTGATGATGTCGTCGGCCGACGGCGGCGGGGGCTTGGAGTCGATGCAAGGCAGCATCGTCTTGCCCAGCTGGAAAACCTGGGGGATGAGCAAGAGCAGCTCGAGCCAGCAGCCGCAGAGCTGGCCCATGTACTTTCGGGCGACGAGGACGCGAGCCATGCGCTCAATGCTGGGGCTGAGCAGCGGCTGCCAGTTGCCGTGGGGGTCGGTCGAAATGATGCTTGAGGCCGCCGTGTGCATGTAGTACTCGACAAGGAAGTCGGCGAGGTCGCCGACGAAGGCCTGTGACTCAGGGCGGTCGAGCAGTGTCGTAAGCAGCGAGCGAGAGGCGGCCAGGTGGTCGAAGATGGTGCCGTAGACATCGCCGCGCGCGACCTGGTGCTCTCAATGGCAGTCAGCGGCGGTTCAGCAAATGCGGAGCAAAGCTAGCAGGGGGGCTACAGACCTCGGTGAGACAAAGTATAAGGCTTCCCACGGTCAACGTCAGGGGGTTTTCGTCCTTGCCCGAGACATACTCGCCCACGACATTCCTAAACAAGCGGAGGGAGTCGGTGTAGTACTGCTGCGCAATCTCATTGCCGGCCTGCAAGCTGGAGGCCTGGCGATGCGCCGCGCTCTGGGCGAGGAGGAGCTGCAGGACCAAGGGGTTGGAGAAGGCGAGCGGGACGAGCTTGACAATAAAGGGATTCACGTCCGTCGAGCCGTTGCCCATGCTGTTTGCTGTCCGGGATAGGTAGTAGCTCAGCAGTTCGTACGAGTTGGGCCCGTGCGACGGCAGCAGCGCCATGGGCGCGGCCACGAGGGGCCGCAGACTGTTGCCGACTTGTTGGCAAAGGGCGCGGACCTGGCCGTCCGAGAGCTGGTCCGGGGCCTTGTTGTCGTATTCCAGCTGGCACGGGTCGTTGGAGCAAGTCGATGTCGCGGCGAGCGCAGAGGCCGAGGGCATCGGAAGGGGCGAGACTGACGGAGAGCCCTGGCTGTCGTCACTCACGTCCACGGCGGCACCGACGCTGGATTCCGATCCGATGTCTGTCACCAACGAGCGATAGAGAGCAGCTGGTAGCGGGTCGGGTCGGGGCTTTAGAGACTCGTCGCGAGCCGTGGGCTCTGTTGCTGGCTCCATGGCCTGGGGCTTTGGCGGCGACGGGAGGCTGTGACGATGCCGCTGGTCGGAAGGCCCGGACAATGTGACAACCACCGACGGCACCTTGTCGAGCGGAGGGCGGCGCCCGGGGTCGGTCGGAGAGGCATGGGCCAACGACGGAGAGGGGGAACAGGTCCTATCGCGACTCTGCCGGGCGATCGACGATGACGACGACTCGGCCGGCCAGCGACAGTCGAGCTTGTTGCGGCGGCAGCCGGAGCAGAGCGGCTTCTCCTCGTTGCACTTTTTCTTGCGGCGCCGGCAGGTGAAGCAGCCGGACCGGCTCCGGATGATGGGCATGACCCGGATCATGGAGCTGTTCAGCCGCCGAGGCGCCAAGCGTGCATGGGCACGGTCTGCGCTCGAGTTTGCTTCGTAGACGCTGATCGCCGGCGGTGGGAAGGGGGGGCAGCACCTCGACGAGGGCAGATCCCCAGGCCGGGGCCTTTTTTCTTCCGCCTCTGTCTCGTTGATTAGTCCCCCTTTTTGGATGTCTCCCTGGGCCAGAGCCGGCGTGTATGATGTTTGTTTGGTGTTTTCCGCCCGCAGAATGTACCGTGGTAGCAGAATCGCTCCTCTCTCGGGGAGAGACACAATGAGAAGAGAGAGCCCACAGCGCAAGAGCAGGACAAGGGGAACGAGCGGGGAACGTGGCTGCCGGTCGCGGCGTCGCTCTGCAATACGAAAATGTTGGGAGAGACAGACAAGCGAGAGAAATCCTGGAGCACGGCAATGGGAAACATTCGGGGGCGCGACCCACAGCCCTGTTGATCCTGACTCGCCCTCTCTCTCTCGGTGGGACCCCCACAAACGGAGGGCACTTGTCCTGGGTTTTAAAGAGATGGATGGACGAACGTACATATGTATATGAAATAGAGTGTGAGCGAGGGTGCTGTTGAGATCAAGGTTCAGGCTCAAGTTTCGGCAGCTGATGCACATCGACGGGCTGAGAGGCTTCAGTGGGCACGGACAGCCTTCTAGTCAGCTCGTTGTTCAAATATGTGAGACGCGCCCTCGCATGCCATAAAGACAGGAAGACAGGTTACAGTATAGACACCGTCACTTTGGCACGCTTCGGGGCCAGTGAGTAATGTGATCGTTGCTTCTCTTCATCTCTGATCAATGAGGCTTACATACCCAGCCCTCGGCTCGCCAGTACGCAAACATGAAGCCAAGGCTCGATGCTTTTAAGGTTTACCGGGACTCAAGGCCTAGGAGCGCATCCGACGCGTCCTCATACATATGCAAAGATACACGCATAGCAAACATGACCACGATGATGCCCGGTACATTAACGTTTGCCTGTGCGCATCGAGTGAGCATGCCGGCCACCGGGCCATGTCATGGTTCGTCGACACTGGAGTCTCCACACGGCAAGATCAAGATATCCTCGATGCTTGTGTACAGTACATATGATAGTACCCTGCACATGGGCATGCCGCTCACCACCGGAGCAGGCAAGCCGATCAACGGTGTGATATGCCTGGCCGAGGTGGGGGCCGTGGATTTTCAACACCCTCGGCCGTTGGCCTCTCTGAGTTACGGAAGCGTCGCCTTTCATGAGCTCATAAATAGAGTTTCAGCCGAGCTCAAAACACCACCCATGGTGCACATGAGGTATATAGACAATCAAGGCCTGAACACTGAGCGTAGCCGGTGACGAAAGAGGGAGAAAGAGAGCGCCGCAGCTTGGGTTGATGCTCCCGAGCCATATATGTACGACAATGCCGCGAAGATTCTGATACCAAAAAAGCATCCGCAGTGGATGGCATTTGATGAACGAGAGGGGCTCACGGTACGTGAATGTCGGTGCACGCTCTTTGCTTCTCTTCTCTACTTCCCCTTACGGCATCTACATGACAAGTTCAAACCCTAATGCAGAATGGAACCTCGAGCCAAAACAGTCTCTCTCCAATCAAGCAGTAGCTGAATGACCGTCCCCGTTTCCCCTGGGCATCACACATACATGCACTGTCTCTGTGCATTGTCAGTCTCGGCATGTGCAGCACGACGCCACGAAGGTGCCAACCTTTCGTCAGTGTATGTGCATGTGAACGCTCGATTTTAGGTCGCACTCCATCAGAGAGGGCAGTCGATTGTGTCTTAAAGGCTTGGTGATATTAGGGGGAACTGGCCACTATGGGCTGCAGGAAGCTTCCAGAACCCAACAACCAAACGGGGCATGGGTGTTCACTCTCGCCACGATACTGTAGTTTCACGCTGCTCACATGTGAGTCCACTATCTTAAAATTAACAGGCACATCGTCAGGCGACGCTTGTTTATGGCTAAGCAAAACATATGATGACCATCTTCCTCCGCGGAGCAGCCTCCGCTTTGGGCTACCCGATGGCTTCAACTCGAATGACGGTTTCCGGTACGTATGCGCAAGGAGGATATAAGTACCGGGTGCGAGCCAGACTCCCCTTCCACTAGTGGCGTTGACGATTGACTATTCTCACACTGGATGCTACAGCAATGTGCTGAGAACACAAAGCTGTACCTGCGCTGTCTTCGAGCGCAATAGATCCATATCTATATATTTTAAGCAGCTTTTGTTTATTTACAGAAGGCGTATTTTTTCAGGTCAACGCAGGGCCTTGTAACTCCTGCCCGGCACGGCTCGTTCCAATCGTCTAGCGGCGAACTCACATGGTGTTGACACCATTGGCTTGGAATCCTTACCAAACTTGGGTAGTATGGCAAGAGGGCAAGAACAACGACTTAAGCGCTCCATGTACTGGATGTAATGACTGTTGGAAGAGGCGAGTTTCAGACTGCCAGCGTAGTGCTTTAAGGGTTAATCACAAGTACGGCTCCAGCCTGGTCTTCAGATCCTCCACGTCTATGTCGCCAGCGTGCTCCGAGCCGCCCTTGCTGCACGGCGGAATCAACACCTGGTCGAGCACCTGGATCACGCCGTTCTTGGCGACGCCGTCGCGGATCGAAATGTGCGCAAAGCCGTTGATGCGGATGGCCGAGAGGCCGCCAAGGCTGACGACATCGACGGCGACGCGGGCGTCACCGAGCAGCGTGGGAAGCTCGTAGTGGCGGCGCTCCAGCCCCTCGGCGCCGGGCTGCTGCCGGCCCGAGTCCGTCTTGTCGTAGTACGAGTCGGTGTAGAAGGTGGCATTGGGGGTGATGTGGTACTTGAGCAGGGCTCGCAGATATTTGCGCCCGGTTTCCGTGTTGAAGAGGAAGGCGTTTGCCCGGACGCCCAGCCGCTTGAAGGCGTAGTTGCTGGGGGCGAGGACAGTGCTACCGACCATCTTGACGCCGTGGATGTACTTGATAAAGTCTGTCTTTTCATACGCGAGCAAGAGTGTCGAGAAGTGGCCTGGGAAGAGTGTGAGGATCTGCCCGGCCATAAAGGGGGGCACAAGAATATGATCGACGGCGTGGATAATGCCATTTGATGCTTTCTATACGGTAAAGGCACCATTAGCAAGAAGGGCACGAGGAGACCATAGGGGTGGCCGTGGCTCGTACAATGTCGGCAGCAACGACTGTGCTGTAAAAGTTGACCTCGACGCCGTGGAAGCCGATGCTGGTGCGCAGTCGCTGGGGCTCGCCGCCGAGAAATCTTTCGTGCAGCGCCGTCGGCAGCGTGTGCGTGTGGAGGATGCGGCCGGCCGGGTACTGGCCGAGGCCGACATGGTAACGGAGGAAGTTCTCGACAAGCTCCTTGCTGGGCTTATCGTTGTGGCCGTCGTGATGATCGGGGATGTGGCGGAAGGCCTCGTTGGTGGGGACGAAGAGGGTGTACTCGGCGCGGGACGAGTTGAGCAGCTCGACTAGGTCCGGGTGGTGGTCGACGAGCTTTGCGAACCGCGACGTGTGCCCGCAGCCGCGGATGAGCTCGTAGATGGTGCCGCGCGGGCGCTCGTCATCGTCGCTGCTGCGGCCGCCGGCGAGGGCAGTGGCTAGTTCTTGGGCGGCCTCAGCGGTGCCCGCGAGGCGGTCGACGGCGTGCCCGAGGAGGGAGGCGACGCTGGAGGGCAGCGAGCCGGGCCAGGGGCCGTCGTCGGCGGCTCGGCCGGCATCAGGGGAAGGCGGCGATGCGGCGAGGGTGATCTGGTGCGGGTCTAGGACGGCGGCAGCTCCGGAGAGAGCGGCGCCGACGACGGTGGTGAGGACGAGTCTCATGGCAGAGGGTGGCGTGGAGGGAGAGAGCCGAGTCTGTCGACAGGCGGTGAGAGCCGAACTAAATGTACCTTTGTTTTATAATAGCACCTTTGCGTTATATATAACGCCTTTCTGGGCCAAGACACTCTGTACAAGCAGAGCAACGACGAGGGCAGAGGACGGCAATGGCAATGACACCGATGCTCAATAGAGGTGAGAGGTGTAAGTTAATTGAAGCACTGTATGTCTGGGAGACAAGTTGAATAGAAACAGGAGAAGGGAGAGGGAGTAGCTGAAGGATGAAAGGACTGATGAATCATCAGTCAAGACTCCGTTGCTTCCGAGGCGGCCACCCGGGCCCCGTCATACATACGTTTGCCGTCGCTGGCCACGAAACGTTGGCCAAGGCCCGGGTGATATGTATAAGCCGCGCAATCGCCATCACGTCAGCCGTTTACACTCCTCCCCTCCCCTTTCGCCTTCCCCCCTTTTCCAACGTCGCGGACGTCGACAGCAGGGCACCGTTACTAACGACACTAACATGGTTGCCATCTCTCACGCTTTCTCCAGATCGACATCTTAGAGCCGCGGCTGCTCACACATCTCTTGACATCTGAACCCTTGACAGCCTTTGCCACGTGAATAGCAGAGCATCTGGACGACGCTCCCCGCACGGTAGCTGCCCGTCAGCTGACGTCAACGCCTAGTTCCAAGGCCATCCGGGGGGGGACATCCCTATGTAATAGGTCACAGGGGGGTTCTGGCTGCGTTGCTAGCTCCAAGCCACTCCGTAGAGGCTGCTTGCTTTTCTGGCAGTCTTGCCCGTGATTCGCTGGGCTGTCTGATAGCACACGCCATGCTGCGCTTCTGGCGACGACGGTGCCGGAGACGGGCGAGACAGGGGGCGGGGACTCGATCGCCGCGGAATCCACCGCCTGGGTCCACCGGCGATAGTGTGTCATCTGGCCTTCTCCACCAGCAGGCGAGGGTCGGCAGAGACATCAGGTATGCTCTCATAGGACGATAATGTGGATCACCATTTGACCAGCCGGGCTTTTCCCTGGCTGTGTGAGGTTTGATGGGGGGATGAATCTCAGCCCTTAATGCTCTAATTCCCCCCCCCCTTCTTTTTAGTCCTTTTAAATCACAACAACCTCCGGGGAAAAGAAACCGAAACAGGAGACGCTTGGCTGTTTTGTTTTGACCCTGCCGCTGCCTTACCTGGCATTCCGTCTCTCGTCCACTCCCCCGTCCCCAACAGCGACGGAGTACAACCTCAAATAATTTAACACACCGAAACCGACAGCCAGCACGCACTGCGGCCCTCTCCCGCCCAACTTCGTGCGTCCATGCTGTGACGAGTGCGGCAAGCCCATTCTCCCTCCTTTTCACCGAACCGGTCCGGAGAACCGCGGTCCATCTCCACGACGCGAGCCCCCGAAACGGCCGCCACAGCAGACGAAGCTGCCGGCGCCGCGGTGACAAAGCAAGCAGCCAACAAGCCGTACCAGGGCCATCCATCCTAGCCTGTCTCTGCCTCTTTCTCCAGCCTCGACTCTTATCCTCTCGTGTCAACGGGCGGAAAAGAGTTAAGATACAGACTTGGAGACAGATACCGGGCGAGTGCGGGATCTAGAGGCAGACACATGAAGGGATAAAGAAAGGAGGGGCGATGCTCCGCAAAAAGGAGGCGTACACGGTGGTGACACCCATCCCGGGCTTCATCCCGCGCCAGCTGGCCATCGACATTCTGCACGCACACAGCGAGGTCATCATGCTCAACCCGCTCGTGCTCTCGCACCGGCCCATCCCCGCGCCGCGCACCGCCGCCGCCGACGAGTTCTACAGCACCTGGTACGAGATTGTCGAGCGTATCCAGTACGTCCCGGGCATCGGCCGCGCCGGCTCGGGCCAAATCACCTTTTGCGGCTGCTTCCACGACCTGCCCTGGGGACTGCAAACACACGTCCATGCTCCCCTTAACATCGACCTGCGCCATCGCTACCGCGTCGCCGGCAACCAGCCGGGCGTCGAGGGCCCCGACGAGCAGCGCGAGCTCGGCCTCGAGGAGCTCGGCGCCCCCCGCGACGGCCTCTATCTGCGTGAGGACATTGAGATCAAGTGCAACATTGCCATGGTCTCCTTTGTCAAGGCGCAGCTCCGCGCCGCCAGCCGCCAGATGCTCGACCGCTTCATCAAGAAGGCGGAGCTGCTCGACGCCGGCGTCCTCCAGGCCATGATGGAGAACGGAAAGCTCAAGACCATCAACCCAAATGATCGCTCCCGCCCGCCCCCGATCCACGCCCCCCCCTATCCGGGCCCTCCATCGCCCTCCCTTGTCGCCTCGCCTCTGCGTTCCTCGCCATCGCCCAGCGCAGGCCACTACCACTACAAGGTTCAAGACACGGACAACAAGGCTCGATACATGTCCTCACATCTATCTCCCGCTGCCCCCTCTTTCCCCGTCGAGCTGCCCGGCGACTCGTCCCAGGATCCGTCGCCGGGGTCCAAGTACCTCGCCCGCCCCGTCTCCGACATAACTTCGACCTCATCCGACCCTCGCTGGTCCCTGAGCCCATCCTTCTCGGACGGACATCGCGACAGCGTCGGCTCCACCGTCAGCGCCACCGGGCTCACGTCGCCCGGTTTTGTCCGGCACGGCTTCGCCGCCGAGTTGCCGGCCCATGACGAATCCAGGGAGTTGGCCCCACGGCCTCAGGCGACTTCGTATATGTATTGAGGCTATGCCGCGGGCTCATTCGATTCTCTTGATACTCATCGGGCTTCTCTTACAGGTTCTGATGGCAACCTTTGTTTTCACCCGCCAAATCGAGGCGGACTGGCGGCGTCGTGCACCTGATGCTGCTGCAGCGAAGAACAGGGGGCATGGGGTTGCGCGGTCATCACACTCATTTGATGCGGAAAATTCTTTGGAGACTGCAGCCATTTAAGGCAGGGTGGAGTGGGTAGAGGATGGGAAGTGCTCATGGTGTCGCAACGAACAGGTATAGTCGATGGATAACGAACAATGATACCAAGATTTAGGTTTTTGCTTTGGAGATGGGATTACATGTTACCTTTGTTGACTGGTTGCCACCTTACCCCAAGACCGCCGAAAGTGGATGCAACGGAAGGGTGTCGAAGAAGTAAGAACAGGACAGCGTGTGTGAGCGAGACGCTGCTGCGTGCGTGCTTCACGCTCCTCGGCGCTTCGGTCTGCCGAAGCGCCCCTTCGAAGGCCACGGATCGCTCTGCTTTTCCAGCCTAGACCTGCACTACTCGTCAGTAGTAGCTCTGAGCTTTCACGACACGCAAGCTCCCTTTCCTAGAGGCCATGGGGAACGAAGAAGTGGTGGGCACTTACACCTCCTTGCCTCGGCCCGGCTGCCACCGCGCCGTGCCGTGACGCAACGCCCGCCAATACCAGGTGCTGCCCACGCTCATCGTTGCCGTCCACTTTGCCAGGGTCGCGATCCCCGCCGACCTCGGATATCGCAAACGGGCGTACACTTCCAGCGCCGCCCTCACGCCGCCGGCGCTGCTCGGAGCCGCAATCCGGTCGAGCAACGCGCCGGAGAGCACGGTGGCGCCTTCGACAGCGAACCCGGTGCCATAGCCTTTTGCCGGGAGCATGAGCCTGGCGGCGTCGCCCAGCAGCACCGGATGGCCGCACTGCATCTCTTCCGGCGGCCACGTCCGCTGTCGGAGGGAACTGTGGATGATGCGGTCCGATGTGGCGACAAAGCCCTCGAAGGTGCCGGCGAACGGGCGAACCCGCGGCCGAGCCGGCGCAGGGCCTCGGCCGTGGCCTCGGGCGCGTACATTCCCGGGACTAGCGCCGACTGCCACGCCCCCTGGTCGCCGGCCGGGGAGGTGGTGCTGGACGTCGTGTCGTACCAAGGCGATGGCGGCTCCGTCTCTGACAGCAGCAAATCCTACCGAGTCCGGCCGTCTAGGCACGGCCCGAGGCTAGGAACCCTCTTGCTTTAGAGAACTCCTACTTACTTTATAAATCTAGTATAAAGTATCCTTGGTATACTAGCTAAAAATGAAAGCTAACTACTAAATTAATAAGGTAGTTTACTTACTTATTACTATAGAAATTATAAGCTTACTTTTAATTCTTACTAGAAAGATTATAATTAATAAATAAATCTAAGAAATTAATAAATACTAATTACTAATTATAGCCTACTTAGCTTAGTTCTTAAAGTAAGGACTATAATATAAAAATTATAACTAAGTTAATAATAAAGATTATTATAGATAGTAAGACTAATATAATAAGTAGCCTTAAGACTTTTACTATAATAATTACCTATAAGAGAATTAGTAAAATAACTAATAAAATAATTACTATTATAACTTTTACTATAACTAGCTATAAGATAATAAAAGAACTAATAACCCTATAATAATTAAGATAACTAATAAGACTAAAGGACTAACTATAAGCTAATATATAAAAGATACTAAAATTATAATAGGAAGCGCGCGCTAGTAAGTTACTACTAACTATATAAGCGGTAGGATAGAGCGGCTAAGGCTAGTAGGGCGGGCCCTATACTCGCTGCCTAGGACCTAGTCGCTACTAAGTCGCTAGTATTAGGCTAGCTAATAATCTACTTAAAGCTAAAACCCTTAAAGTATAAAAGAGTTATTATAAAGTTAGTATAGAGAAAGTATAAGGGCTTTTACCCTATATTAGCCTAGACTAAGGTCTAGGCTAAGTCTATATATAAGCGGCTTCTATGCTTATATAGGCTAGGCCTATACTTCTCTTCCTTTTCCCCCTTATAGATTATTAACCTTCTTTTAATAGACCGTACCTAAGCCTATACCTTTAACTACTCCGTAATAGTATAATCTACCTTTTATTTTACCCTCTTTATATCCCTATATATAAAATAGCTATTTTTAGCTACCTTTAAAGCTAACGTTTAATTACTTAGTCTAGTTAAACCGCTTACGCTAGTATATATATACGTAAAATATCTATACTCTTATAGTTATAAAATTAAAGCGAATATAATACTTAGTTCGCCCGGGTAATTAAGAGCTCTTATAATAGTAGGGCTCCGCACGACTAAGAGCGGTACTACTAGACCTTAGTAAGTTTAATAGCTCTTTTATAGAGCTTAAGCTAAAGCTGCTTTATATAAAAGTAAAGCTTTATACTAATAGCGCTATAATAAGGGATATCTATACTTAATTCGACTATTTTTATATAAGCCTATCCTTATACTTATAAAGGTATCTTTTACTATTTACGCGTATTAGTATAAACGGACTAGCTAACCCCCTCTTAAAGCTTTATATTAATTATAGCGTACTTAATATAGCTAAGTCGGTAGGCTAAGAGCTTATAACGCTTTATTAAAAGCTAAGTAAAGCTATTCTAGATTACCTTATATAGTTTAAAGAGGTACTTTATTAAGTAAATATATAGAGCTAGCCTAAAGTAATAGAGTATAGTTGCTTTATTATAAGGTTAAATATAAATTAGCGTACCTATTTAAGTAAAAGATCTATATTACTAGATATATATACCGATCTCGTTTACCTTTTTCGTAAGCTTAGTAGTAATAAGTTTCTTTTTTCGTTTTCTTTTATAGTATAAGAAGAGGATAACGCTAGTAATACTATAGATATCTCTATCTCTACCTTAAGGACTAAGAATAGGAAGAGGTAGCGATAAAAAGGTCGCTATATAAGCTATAGTAGTAAATCCTATTAGTTTTTAAAGTGCCCGCGCTAAGAAGCGCGGGTAAATATACTCTAAGTAATAACGGGGCGTACGCGCTAAGACGGAAAGGAGGTTATGCCGGAAGAGGGTCCTTTATAGTAGACCTATTCCTCCTAGTAGGGAAAGCTAACTTCTTAAGTAGTTCCTTCCTATAAATAGGTTAGAATTCGAGAATAAATTAACCGAATTTTTCCTCGATAAGCCTAATAGTCTAATTCTTCTAGACTAGCCTTATAGGCTTAGACGTTATATCTTAGAAGATTCCTTCCTCTTAAAGAAAGCGGAATAAAATTAGGCTCGTTAAAAATCGAGGGTAAAAAGCTACCCTTTTTCGTCGAAGAATTTATATAGACCTATTAGATAGTTTTATCGTAAAATTCACCCTTCTATATCCCTCTATCTATACGGTTAATTCCCTAGCAATAAGATATTCCCTCTATGCCTTCTTAAAGGACCGGAATCGTAAGAGTATATTATAGATATCGAGGGAAGTACTAAAGTTAAGAATAGCTAATTTTTATAGGGGATAGTCGGAGGGTCCTAACGGGTGGTCTTACTAATTCGTAGGGAAGACGAATACTAGATTTACTATACTAACGATTTTTCCTTAAATTTACAGCTCGAATAAGGGCAGTAGCGTTAGTTACTATTTCTTAGTAACCTAAAACTCGTCTATCTACTTCTATAACGAGGGGTCCTCCTTAAGAGACTATTATACTATTTCTTATAGCCTCTTTAAAGGGTTAATTCCTTTAAGTCGGTTTTCCTTAAAGACCTACTAGCAGTCTTCTAGCCGATAGGGCTTTTTATATACTTAGTAGGTAGGTCGATTCCTCCTTATATATTATTTCTTCGAGGAATCCTTATCCCGGTCCGGAAGGTCTGCTTAAAAACCCCCCCTTTTTACCCCTTATTACTAATTTTAACGAAGAGGTTCGATTTCGACTAGTTCCTTAATTTTTCGACTAACGGACTAAAAGGTCTATTAAGGGACTAGTTAGGCCGGTCTAACTAACGGGACCGGGGCCGGACTCGGAATAAGATACGTAGCCGGGGCCGGGGCAGTAGCTATAGTTAACGACGGCGTTAAGACTCTCGAGGGAGGAGGAGCCGAAGGAGCAATAGCCGCAGCAGCAGCAGTAGCGGGGGCCGTAGCAATAGGGGCTATAGCAGCTATAGGTCGAGCTGTCTAGGTCGAGTGCTAGCTACGAAGGAATAAGACTGCTTGCTATTATACTCTAGTAGCCTCTTCGTTTAGTTCTTAGCTAGCTTCTTAAAAGATAGTCGAGTAACCGTTATTAATAGGCTTTATTAGTAGAGATATATCCTATAGCTATTAGCCGGAAAGAGCTTTTATAAGGAAGTATTAGTTAGCTTCCTTAAGGATTTCTTCCTACTTAGCTAGCTACGAAGAGGCTAGTAGGTTCCTAGTAGAAAAGGCTCTTAGGTAAGCTATATAGGTCTTCTTAATACGGTTAGTTATATAGCCCCTTAAAGGAGCTATCGAGGTCTCGAGCTTTAAAAGCTACTGCCTAGTTTAACGGGGGCATCTATACCCTAAGGAACACATAGCCCGCGCAGCAGAGTCTTTAGCAGGGTCCTTGGCAGGGTCCTTAGCAGGGTCCTTGGTAGGATCCTTGGCAGAGTCTCTAGCTAGCCCTCTTCTTAATTAGATGATCCCTTGGCCCCTGTTCGTCTAGGGAAGAAGGAGGGAAAATTCGGTCTATAAAAGAGGTCTCTTTTCCTCCTTAGCTAGCAGACAGCATCTTCTTCTATCAGCATTATCTTCTTCTATATCCTCTTTTACTAATATACCTTTTTGGCCCTCTTTGCCTTTACCTTGCCCTGCCTAGCGCTTTCTCGTTTCCTTCGTCCCCCTTAGACCCCCTCGTCCTTCGGTATCTAGCTGCTGCTATTGCCGTTGGCGTGGGTGTGTCTTTAGGTGTGTGCCGCAGCTACCGTTAAACTAGGAGTCTCTTCCTCTTAAAGAGAGATTAGCTTTACGGTACTAATAGATTCCGTTATCGCTATACGTATAGTAGTTAGTAGCTTCGTCTTATAGAGGTACTCCTTTTAGTGACTCTCGTAGTCGCCTAAGGTAGTAGAAAAAGCTCTCTATTATATAGAGGTAAGCTTAGAGAAAAGGGAAGCTCCCTTTATAAATTCTATTACCTTAGGATAAAAAGGGGGCTTAAGAGGGTCCTACTTATTAGAGAAGACTAAACTATAGATAGTCCTATCTATACGAGCCCGTAGCTCCTTTACCTACTTATCCTAATCTTAGGGCTATATTAGAATCGTCCTATAGACCGTAGGGGCGGTAAAGGAGTCGTTTTTTAATATCGTTGCGAGAGAGAGGGTAGAAAAGTCGGTTAAAAATCAGCTTTTCTAGTAAGAGGGGTAAAAGGGAGCTACGAGGGATATAAGAAATATGCCTTTTATAGTAGCTAGAAGGTATAGGAATTCTATTCCTCCCGGGCTTATAACTCTCGCGAAGAGAGATATAAGAAGTATATAAAAATATATAAAGGTAAAATTAAAAGTAAGGGGTTAGATAGGTAGGGCAGAGAGATTTAATTCTTATAGAAGTAGTAATAAAGGTAAGGGAGTAATTATTATATTGCCTTAATTATCCTTCTTTCCTCTATCTAACGCCCCCTTTTATACCTATCTAGCCTTTTAATTAATAAAGAAGATCCTACTTAAAGAAGCTACTAATATCCTTTCGACTACTAAGCTTTTTACTAGTTTTTCCCCTCCTTTTTAGCCGCTGCCGGTATATCCGTCTTATCTCTCGCTACCTCTATAAGAAGCTATCGCTACTTCTACTTCCCCTTATACCCCTACCCTCCTTTCTATACCTCTTTTTAGCTACTTCTTCTTTCTTTTATACTAGGTGTTTTTAGCTTCCTTAGTCCCTTATACTAAGGGATATCTCTAAGAACTACGAAATTAGGCTACGCTTCGCGATAATTAGTACCGTAAAGCTAATCTATCTTTAAGAGGAAGAGACTCCTAGGTAGTAGCTTTTAAAGCTCGAGACCTTAATAGCTCCCTTAAGGGGCTATAGAACTAACT